CTTTTTTCTTTTTGCTTATGTGGTGCTGAGGAATCGAACCCAGGGCCTCGAGCATGCAAGGCAAACCCTCTACCACTGAGCCACCTTCCCAGCCCTACGATGTCATGTTTGACTAGTGCATATTCTGGAAATATTTCTATAGCTATCACTGTCAACACAGACACATAAATATAAGATATGAAGAAATCCTGAGCTGGGTACTGGTGGCTCACACCTATAATTCTAGCCACTCAGGAGGCTGAGCTCTGAGGATCATGGTTTGAAGCCAGCCTGATTCTGATCTCCAATTAACCACCAAAGAGCTGAAAGTGGAGCTGTGCAACAAGTGGTAGATTATTAGCCTTGAGCAAAAAAGCTCAGGGACAACACCCAGGCCTTGAGTTCATTCCCAAGAACTGGCACAAAACAAAACAAAACAAAAAAACTCCTCAACTCCATTTCTTTATTACTCGTCATTCAGGCAAACAGACAACGTTCTGATGCCTGGATGCACACTAATTTTCCTTTTCACACTTCATGAAAATGATGTTTTCCCATCAAGAACTGATGTGGACGAATTATACAGCAACACAAAGTGAAGGTAACTCCTCTCCTGTGAGTACACACACACACACACACACACACACACACACGCCCCCCCTATTCTACGAAAGTAAGAAGTAACTAAGGTCTGGAATAATGCTTGAAAAAACATACTATTTCCAAAAGATAATATAACCACAGAAACCCCTTTTATTATTTGGCAATACTGGAGTTTGAACTCTGAGTCTTGCACTTGCTAGACATGTACTCCACCACTTGAACCATCCTCCAAATCCCTTTCTGCTTTAGGTTTATTCAGTTAGGGTTTCTCATTTTGCCTGGGCTAGCCTGGGACCCTCCTATCTATTCCATGCACTTAGCTGGGATGACAGGGTCAGACCAGTATGCCTGGCTAATTTGTTGAGATAAGGTCTTGTTAACTTTTTGCCCAGGCTGACTTCTAACAGCAATCTCCCAATCTCTGCCTCCAGAGTAGCTGGGATGGAAGACATGTACCACCACACCCTACTACAAGACAATTGTAAATTCATCTATGTAACAGATATTAAGCAATGATGATATTTGCTGTGTAACTGAATTTCTTTTTTTACCCCCTTTGGAGGTGGGTGGTTGGGACAGAGCCTCATACCCCCAACCTAGCCTGGAACTCTGAATTCCCCTGCCTCTACCTTCAAAGTTCAACCTATAAGCTAACCTATCTGGCTTATGAGCCTCTAGTATCTGGTTTACATAACCAAACTGGTTTAGAAGAGACATTATTTGGAAATGTTCTACCACTTAGCATTAGGCAGCTAAAATACACTTTTTTCCCCACCTAAAAAAGTAATTTGGCTAAATTTCCAGTTGCTGACTTCCCATCAAATTTCATTTTTGCATAAATGACATGGTGCTGACATTTCATAAAATGATATTTACTGAATACTGTTTTTCTACCTATTTTGTAGAAGGATACTAAAAATTCTGTGTAGTTGGTCTAATAACAAAATCCTTGTAATGCATATCATTTACTGGCCAACATAAAGCCCTTTTCAATATACAGTGATTATGTAATACTTCCAAAAGGCCAGGGAAACATTTAACAGATGTTCGGTTTTATTTTATTATATGCACAAATTTCCCCTTAATGGCTTTTTTTCCCAAGCAAGAAGGAAAAGAAAGTGAAAGAGAAGGCAGAAAGGTAGAAGGCAGAAGGGAGAGAGAGGGGGAGGATGAAAGGGTAAGAGAGAGATGGCTTTCTTGAAAACTATTCAGCTTTCTTTCCTCCTGGACCTTCACCTTTACAAAACCCACAGATACAGAATAATAAAGTTAAAATTGGTTCTACTTCAAACTTGCCTAGGTTGCCCACCATTTTTCAAGGACACTGTAAAAAAGCAGGCTTATATAGGGAGAAAGTAGAAAAATCACTTGTACCAGAGCATATCATGTAGCCTTGGGAGCCACCTCGTTTCCTGTGATTACTTAAAAGCTCATTTATCAAGTGATGACCCTTATGGCAGTCTCAGCTCAGCAGCCTTATATTCTTAAGATTCTAGTAAAATCAGTCCTAGGAAAGAAGGGAAGGAAGAAAAGGAGAGAGGAAGGGAAAGAGAGAGGTAAGGAGGGAATGAAAGAGGAAAGGAAAAAGGAAGGAGGGATTTATTTCCATATCTGCTGCCTGAACACTTAACTATGTACATTATTCTTTTTGTTGTTGTTGATAGTTGTGGGGCTTGAACTTGGGGCCTGAACACTGTCCATGAGCTCTTCTGCTCAATGCTAGTGCTCTACCACTTTGAGCCATAGCACCACTTTGTTTTCCGGTGGTTAACTGGAGGTAAGAGTCTCACGGCCTTTCCTGCCCAACCTGGCTTTGAACCATGATCTTCAGATCTCAGCCTCTTGAGTAGCTAGGATTACAGGTGTGAGCGACCAACGCCTGGCACATTCTTATTAATTCCAGAGGACATATCATTCTGGTAGTGACTTGACCTTGTAAGATGTGAGCATAAATCTCATGGCCCTGGAGATAATGTAGTACAATGCTTTGTTTAATGCAAGAACATCTTGTCTGGTTTCCATGGTGTAGGGTCATACAAGGGAGGCTTGGAGATTTTTCAACAACAGGGCACTGACCCTAGCAGGCACTGTCCACCCCATTCCATTCCAGGATGGCTCTGACCGCCAGAAGGTCCTCACGTGTCAAACAGCATCCGACTTCCACTGACTTCTACCCAGTGGACACAATAAGCTTAGGCCCTTACCCTGGTATAGAAGAGTCTTTCAAGTTTCTTGTTCAGACTAATATCTAGCTATTGGCAAATTTTGGTTTGGGTTCACAATGGACCTGAGCAAGATTCCAAAGCTGCATTGACTAAACCCATCAGCATTCTAGAAAATCACTCAGAATGTATACAGACCCCAAAGGAGTTAAAGAAGCCTCACGATTACAGGCATGGGACATGAGGTTGATTTAATATGATACAAATTGAACCTGGATGTCAAGGCAGGAGTGTGGGAGTGATACTTGCTTCTTTCCATTCCCTTCTTCTCCTCAGCCATCAAATCTAGTCAGTTCACTTCTAAAATGCTTCTAAAACCCACCTCCTCTCCATCCCACAGGGGTGACTCAGGAGCTTCTGATTTTGTCTGGACTTTGGCGATGTTGAGCTCCACAGACAATGGGTTGCCTGTGTCATCTACTGCTGTATCCTCAGCACTGAGAACATTATAAGGAAAGGCCAAGCAGGTATTTTAATGAATTTTAATAGCCCCTCAATGGCTTGACTTGTGTCTTTCTCCATTTCAATCCCATCACTGGCTTCATGGTTTCTTTGGGAACAGGACATCATCTCCTGAAAACATACCTATTCTCATATAGAGCAGAGTTTTTACCGAGATAAATAAGGTGTCTCAGCATCTGGGCCCAATTTGTCTATCCACCAGTGTCATTTCCTGTCACCTAACCACTGCTCCACATCAAAGGGCTCACAGTTCCATGCATTCCTAGCCTCTGAGCCCTTCCCTCTTTTATGTCCTTTGCTTGAAATGGCTGGCCCCCATTTGCCCTGGCAAATGGTGACAGTCCAAAGTCCAGCTCAAATATGACTGAAGACTGAACGCTCTCCTCAGGTACCCAAAAGGAATTTGCAGTCATTCTACCTTGGCCTCTCTGACAATCATGATCATCACCGTGTGCATATCTATTTTCTCCATCTTATTCTACCTAGAGACTGGAACACAGCAGGCTCTCAGTAAGTGTTTGTTGAAATGAAATTAAAATACAGTATAATGAGGTACTTGCAAGTCTAACACCGGGGAAATGCTTCTTGCTGTGTAAATGACAAACCCCACATGCTGTTATTGCTGTGGCTTCCCCCACAGTTGCTCAGCATTCATTTCCACATTCTAGACCTCTACTTTGAAAACTTACTTTAAAAATTAGACCTGCTTTCTGAATGACTGCATATCTCATCCCTGGATATTGTTTCATAACACATTCTAATATTTCTTCATCATATATAAGCCAGAGTGGAAACAGTGAAAACTTTTTACCATAATAGTTTAATTACTAACCTTTTCCTTTGAATTTTGGCTTTGCTATTTCATAAACCCTAAAGAACTCATGAAATATGATGTGTATACAAAGCTCAGAAAAGCAGGTTGGGGACTGGTAGGTGTATTTTGTATTCTGTTCCTTAAGGGAGGAAGGGAATATGAGAACCAATTGCTTCAAGAAGTCTACTTGGGCTGAGTGTTGGTGGCTCACACCTGTAATACTAGCTACTCAAGAAGTTGAGATCTGAGGGTCAGGGGTTAGAAGCTAGCTGGGGAAAGAAAGACTATGAAGCTTTTTATCTCCAATTAACCAACAAGAAGCTGGATGTGGATGTGTCACATCTAGCTGGCTGCTAGTAGAGCAGCCAGCCTTGAGTAGGAAAAACTAAGGGGCAGTGTTCACATCCAGAGTTCATAACACACACACACACACACACACACACACACACACACGTCTTGTTGCATAATATGCAACCTAAAGCCCAGTTGTCAAAAAGACATTTTGGTAGTAGGTCCACAACATAGAAACAACTCCAAAAACTTATTCTATGTAAAACCATACCAAGACCCACAGACTCATCAACCCTTGTCCTCAGGTCACATAGACACTTCACTGTATCCGGTCCATTCTAGGGTAGTCCTTGCCCTTGACCTCTGCTCCAGGCAGCTCTCAGCCCAATACAAACCTCAGCCTATCCTGGGAGGCAGTCTGGACTCCCTACCTGTTTCTCCCTAGGCATAGGGCAGCTGTCTGGTAAATTCTGAAGGCATTCGGCATCCCAGCCCTGCCTTCCTTCCTTTCCTAATACTTCCAAGTTGTTGATTCTGTCCTTAGACCCATACAACAGAACTCCTGGTAGTGGAGGTGAGGCTATGCCAGAAGCTTCTTGCATTTTCTGAGTCTCCTTACACACTTCCCAGGGTAAGTGATTCCTTGGAGGTTCTCAGCTTCATGAAACATTCATACTCTTCCTCTCCTCCCCCCACCCACACCCTCCATCTCTGTCTGTGTCTGTCCCTGACACCAGGTTTCATATTAGATAGACCCCACTGAGCCCTGCCTCCCCCCCCACCTTGGAGAGGGGTCACATGGCCATTCGGAGCCCCCTCATTAAGGCAGTCATTTCATGCCTCCCCAAGGGGTATCTTTAGCCATTTCCTAACTATCATCAGGAACTGGCTGCACAATCATTCTCAACCTGTGGGAAGACGTCACCCTCAAACCACCTCGGTGACCTGCGGAGGAAGTCACCTGCCGCGGGCGGGCCGGGGGTGGGTTAGCCTCCTTGAGCTGGCCTGTCCCCCGCCACCCCCCCCCCCACACACCTCCACTACACCCTGATGCCCTTTCCCACCAGGTCAGGGTGGATCGGCTGGGCCTGGAGCCTCCCCGGGATCGCCGTCCCGCGGGAGGGCCGCCCCGCCCCTCACACCCCCACGCGGGCAGCCCGGGGGGGCCGGGAACCGCTTCCCGGGCTTCCCGGGCGCGGGCCCACCCTGCCCGCCCAGCTCGGTTGCTCCCCGTCCGGGCTCACCGGCCGCCGCGATCGGTTCCCTCCGAGTCACTGCGTCCCCGACATCGCGGCCCCGGAGGACAGCTCTGGACCCGGATGCGGACGCCGGCCTG